CTACCAAAAACTGGAAAAGCATCTCTCCTTTACTACTCAAGGCTGACTCATCAAGCAAAGAAGTCTTTTGAACAACCTCTATGGTTTCATACCTCGCACAAGCAGCCAACTTACTGTTCAGTTACATGTTGTGTTTTAATGACACACATTTTGTGGTTCCTTTTATAACAAAGGCAACTTCTGGATGTCAGGCAGTTAGAAAGGACAGGTAGTGAGAGGAAAATCTGCATTCACTTGGAGTTCTACCAATTCAGGGCCATGACTTTTCCTTAGTTTCCTTAGCTCCTTCTGACTCCTTTCAATTCAATTCTCTGTTTACTGCCATTCTGCTCTCTTTCATAAGAGAAAAATATCCTTGTTCTTCTATCAAAACTCAGAGATAACCTACATACACCTTAATTGACACTAACCAAAGAGTCGCAACACTTTCATAAGTTGGAAAAATTCAACTGCCTTAGCATATACCTGACCTTAAAACTCCTATTTCCCACAACCAATACCTTAGGGACCAGAATCAGATGTGAGCTGGTCTGCCCAGAGTATTTCTGTTCTAAAGTAGCTGGTCCATGGAGCTTAAGGATATGGCCCGAGAGTCCCAACCAGCTACACCCCTACCCCTTAGCTAGGGTAGGGGTTAGGTAAAACAGTATTCCAACAAAGACATCCCCCCCCCCCCCAGGAGATCGAGTTACTGAAAAAAATCATCTAGTTACATACACATACATCTTTCCTGCATTGTAGCACAATGGTAGTTAATTTCAGAGAAGTTGGGAAAAACTGAAGTTGGGAAAAACCAAAGTTGGGGCTCTCACTGACAAATTTTCAATCCTCCCTAAACTCAAGTCATGAGAGTAATAGGAAACAGCTAGAAATCATTCACTAATTTGGAAATAATTTTGTACAAATCTTTCTCTAGTGGCACCACTACATCAATCAAACACAGTGCAGTTCTCACACCCTTAGTTCCTATTGGTGGAGCAGTTATATTAAGGGCTGCAGTGATCAACAGAGGTGATAATCATGTGGATGAGAGGAGGGGAGGAGACGAGAGAGGAAGAAAATGAATATGACTGAATGAATCTATACCTCAATACTTTTAAACCAGTTAATGAAACAAAACCATCACGGAGAGATGAGTCTAACCAGCCTTTAGAACATATTTAATAAATGGCAGGGGAGGGAGAAAGACAGAGAAGGAGGGAAAAAGAAGTCAGTCAACACCTGCTACCTTAAGAAGGTAGGAAAATACCCCTCTTTCAAAGTGGGCAAAAAAAGAGGCAAGACTAAGACATACTGACCTATGTAGATAAAGAAAAATGAGATAACAACTAAAGTTACTTTCTCATATTTTTCTACCATCCCACATACATAAAAATAAACATTTTCTCTTTTGAGCATAGATTTAAAGCAGCATCGCTTCAACATAATCTCCCAGCACAGTTAACAATCAAAGTGAAACCATGGTTTTTTAAGATAGGTGATTTTAAGTAATAAAAGTGGTTAATGGCTTTTAAAAACCTGTTTTGAAGCTATGATCTAGGGGTGTTTGTGCCTCATATCTTCAACTATGTACAATATATTCCTTAGATTTCATGGTGTTACTCAGATTTTCATGGTAAGGTTTTCTTGCAGACAGTTTTTCTTTTGCCATTGGGTTTTCAAATGACCCCAGAATTCTGACTGTATAGAAAAAAATGTCTCTTCTTATAAAAACCTGCATAGATTAGTAAATGTGTTAGAAAACTCACTCATTCCAGGCTCAGTCAAGTAGCTGTAGCGCTTACGTAAAGCTAAAGATGCAAAGCTCTGTCGTTTATCTGCTTTCTCGGCCTGAAAAGGAAAAAAACAAAGACCGTGTCCAGCATTTTTGTGGCATTTCATAGTTTAGGAACATTTTGTAGGATGTTATGTTAATATCGTATTTATCCTTATTTTTTCATTGTATGGAATTTCCTTCATTAAAATGTGATTCCAAAACCCCACTTCAATGTCTCAAACAAATAGCCATCATTTAGCAAATATATGAGCACCAACACAGCAGACTACAGGGAACTACAGATAAAAGACGAGAGTTACAGAGACTTCTGATGCTGAACAGGAAATTTCCCCCAATTAATTTGGCCTCAAAACACATATATCACAATGTGAGTACATTCCAGGAAAAAAGGCACACAAAGGTTATTATTCTGATTACTGCTGTTGTTTCTGTGTGTTAATAGGCAAGTATAGATGAAAAAATTAAAAACAGGTTAATAATTTCATTTAGGATAACGTTATTGTGTCTTAAGGCTGCTGATTCTATTATTATGAAGGTGTAAGTTTTAAAAATCCAATATCATCTAACTTGGAGAAATATCAGGAGATAACTTATAAGAAAAAATTCATTCAAAGCTTAATTGAATAATTATATCTTTAAAAAATGGCCAAGATACACTTCTTTAAGTAGAATATAAAATATTTATCAATAGCCATTGAGCACATATTTTATATTATGTAAAACACAGGTTGATTTGTATAATAAAATTTCATATATTACCCACGATCTTAAAAGTTATAACACAGTTGATACTAGGTGAAAATGTATATTTTGATACATGCCAATTCAACTTTTTAAATTGTTATCAATATGATTTTACTGAATATCATGATTTTACTGAATATTCTTATGCATATGTGGATAAAGAATGAACTATTCTTTAAGAAAAATGTATACCCTTTACTCATTTAAGCTAAAAAAATATATAATATGTTTTCCATACTTTAGCCTGTTGCAATTTCTTTTATATAGATTCAATTCCTATTCTATCTCTGGTAGAGTAAAAGCAAAAATGTTCATATTACCTCATCATCTTGATCTGACTCTGTCTCCTTTTCGTTCCAAGATGCATTGCAGAGACAAGGAATATTATAATGGACAGCAGAAAAGAATATCAGGATATGAAAAGGACTAAGTAGGAGCACAAAATGCAAGCTGATTTAGAAGGCAAAGCAAATCAAAAGAAGCCAACAAAATGTATCAAGAACAGTACATCCATGGCAAATTAATGTGCAATGTCCTCTGAAATCATAAAAAAAACACCAACCTATAAACTACCAGCAGAAGCAGAGGCAATAAACAGGACTCCATGATACAAACCATAAGAATCTGACACCACAGTAACGAGACATAGTCTACACAGAGACCAATAGAACAAGAGTTTCAAGAGCTTTGATCATGTTACATAGCATTCCTTAATTGCACACCAATGGCCCACTTCTTCAAAACCAAGGAAAGAAAGTTAAAATAAACCGATACCAAAAGATACCTTTTTATGTGCTGGCAGAGTGATATTTAAGTTGCAGACAGCTGTCTGAGGCAGTCCTTTTGTTGTCTTTGGTTCTTTCAGAAAAGACAGACGACCACAGGGCTCTTGGCTGGTGTCTCTAATCTAGAAGAATTTAAGAATTTATGTAGCTGACGGTTACAGAAGTAGACTTTTCTAAGGAATCCTGTCTTTATAGGAGTCAAGCATGTTTGTTTTATGGAGACCTTCAAGAGGCAGGAAAATAGAGGGAAAAGAGGATGATAACAATTACATGGCCACTGAGGTGGTCACATTTAAACTCAGCGAGATTTAGGATGTCCCATTCCTAGTCTAAACACAGGACTTGTTGTGTCTGGGTTCCATGCATTTTCTTCCTGTCTCATAGTTTCTTTCTCTCAAATCCTCAGACTCAGCAACATGGATAACAGCAAATAATAATGACAGTAAAATCATTGTTCTATGTCCTTCTGCTCTCTGAGGAGAAAGACATACTTTTCCAAGAAGGTCCATGGGCTCCATCAGAAATGAAGGTGAAGCTTGAGTTCTGAATTTAACTTTCATCCATTATTTGATTACTGAGCAATAACCAGCTATGAGGCATTTTATTATATTAGAGGGTTTGATCTCACAAACATTTGCCTGAACAGAAATGACTATTAAGCTGTTGAAAAGGTAAGGACTTTTTAAACAAATTTTACAAAGTTTTCCTACCTGAAAAGTACACTCGGGTAGGACTGAGACAAAAATCTGACCTCGTTCCTATGACTTCAAATTTGGTGAGATATTTCAAACACAATACGTGTGACTAGGACAGTCACAGAGTCGCTGCTGATGAGAACTTACCTTGATGGAAAATGGCAGTCTATTTTCTTTGAAAGCATAAAAGTTAAAAACAAGTTGCTGTCCTCCTTTGGTCAGTGGAGCCAGATTTCCATAACAATCAACATAAATAGGTTTTCCTTCCAGAACCTTTTAGAGTAAAAGAAATACATAATTTAATATTAACTTTAATTAAAAGAATTTTGAGACTTTAAGTCACATTGACATTAACTGAATGACATGTTTCTATGTCACATTTGTCTCATTAGGAAATTACTTCTATAGTCCTATTTGCTACAGAAATAACTATTTTGGCTCACAATTTAATAACTGTGACTGGAAACCGCATTATGGATTTTATATAAGATAAATATCATATATTTCTATCCTAGCAACTTGAAACATGTTTGAGAAAGTACCTTACATCAATCACTTGTTCAGATAGATTTTGAAAAATTGTTTCTTTCTTTTTTTTTTTTTTTTAATCTTATCTGATGTCTGGGTTTGAAAAAGCAAAATCATGGTAATGTGTATAGACAGTAACCATGAAAATAAGATAATTTGAGTATCTACAGGAAAAAGGAAACTATGACTCAGATCCATTAGAATTATATTTTAAACACTAAGACAACCTCAACAACATTTAAAACAATTTGAGAATGAATCTATATTGTATTTTTACAACAAAAACTAAAATAACATACTTGACATTTATAGTGAGCACTATTATGGTCTCAAAATAAAACTTCGTATCTGGGGGAAATAATTGAATGAACTTGTTCTGAACAAGGTACCTCAATATCTTTGCTTCTTGCAACCTCCTCAAAATTCTCTTGCTGCTCTAAAGTTTTGTCCACTTTGTCATCTGTCATGCAGAAACACCGCAGGGAGGATTCTACAGGATCGTTCATTTTGGCAAAAACAACAAACTTGGCCATATATGGAACACATATTAATTCTCTGTACAGTTGCGTGGCTAACCCCACAGTTTCTAAAACTTGATGGCAGTCTGCAAGCCAAAATCTGATAAAAAACAAACAAAGCCCAAACAAAACAAAACAAAATGTAAGTATGGAAATGAAGTGACTTAAACGCCAAATCTTAAAAAATTCACCATTAAAAAAGTCAGAATATAAAGGGACCTAAATTAAAACATTGACTTGTTCATCTAAATTAGGGGTGTCGAACTCAATCAGAGAAGGGGCCAAAATCTAAAATCCAGCCTAAATCGCGGGCCGAATGGTTTACTGAACAGTCATAAACTGTCATTGTGATGGAAACGCAGCAGAGTGCAGTGATGACAGTGCGGTGCGGGCCACATTGCAAGGCCTGGCGGGACGGATTTGGCCCACGGGCCTTGTGTTTGACACATGTGATCTAAACAAACAGCAGGATGTTTGTTGCTCATCAAACAGAGAAAATGGTAAGATTCTCTTTCTCTCCCATAAAATTCTTGTTTCCCTCTAATACATACCCATACATGGGAAAACTTCCTTTCTACTCCTGTTTTCAGAATTTTTAATCTATAACTTTACAATTGGAAGGAGCATGAATTTTATGAGAGAAAGCTCCTATCAGTATTTACAAATTAAAGTTGCTAAGAAATTTTACTAGAAGAATCCAGCCTAGCACCTTATAGCTTCCTACAAAAACTGGGCTTATCACAGTGAATTTTACATTTCTAATTTAGATCCAACTTCACTATCAAAACTGTAAAAAATAACCATAACCATACTGGCATTGAGCACAACGATCTTTACTTTCCAAAAGCTAATAAAACTAATTCCTCTTTGCTTTTTGGAATCCTTTAGTTCCATACCTGGCTGAAACATTGGTTGTAAAAGAGACACAATCCTTTATAAATGTCAAAGGAGTAGTTCCTGTGATGTCTTCCCACTGAGCCGGTGAGGTGCCCCCTAAGAGAACAGCAGCAGATATGGCGACTTTATTAAGAGACATGCTTCTTGTAACATTTGCATCATTATCCTGTTCTTCCCGGTTTGCCAGAAGCTTGCAAAACATCAACACTGTCAATTAATGACATTTACTAAAGGTGGTTTTCCTCTTGACTCTCCTTTTATACATTTGCAGGCTTATTCTGACTTCCTTGTAAGATACTGTCCGATTTTTTTAAAAATTACTTTTCGGTTTGGGTATTAATGATTGGCTTGAAATTGGGGTAACCAATCTATAAATGGATTTTGCAAGTGTACTTTGTCTATCTGAAACAATACATCGTGGCACTTACAATCTATTTTAAAAAATATATATATTTTATTGATTTTGTACAGAGAGGAAGGGAGAGAGATAGAGAGTTAGAAACATCGATGAGAGAGTCATTGATCAGTTGCCTCTTGCACAACCCCTACTGGGGATATGCCCGCAACCAAGGTACATGCCCTTGACCGGAATCGAACCTGGGTCCCTTCAGTCCCCAAGCCGATGCTCTATACATTGAGCTAAACCGGTTTTGGCTCTATTTGTGTGTGTGTGTGTGTTTTTTTAATATTTAAAAGGGCAGTAACCATCAAGAAAGTTAAGAAACAACTTATTTGTACTAGCTGAATCATAATTTACCAGGGACAAAGGGTGAATCAGCCATCAACATTATTCTTAAAAACAAAACAAAAACAAAAGACCCAGTCTATCTTAATCTTGGGATTTTCAGTGAAAAATCACATTAGGTTGATCAAGTGAGGAATTGAGCTCTGGATTCTAGGTGCGCCTCATAAAACATGTACTCCCGAAGGCCTTCAATTTCCTATTGTCAAAAGGGTGTCACTAAGTCCACCACCTCTGTCTAGATCAGCGTTTTTCAACCGCTGTTCCACGGCATGTTGCCTGGTGTGCCGTAGGTGCAGACAAGACAAGAATTTTATAATTTTTCACTATTTTGTTTACTTAATATTTCATAATAAAGTAATTATAAAATACTTTCTTTGTGTTTATTTGATTCCTATTCAAGAGAATTACTTTATATATAGTCAATATAGGCACAGAGTTAAATTTTTTAACATTTTCTAATGGTGGTGTGCCTCGTGATTTTTTTCATGAAACAAGTGTGCCTTTGCCCAAAAAAGGTTGAAAAACACTGGTCTAGATCACCAAGAGATCACCAAGATGCCCCAGCAGATGCAATAATATCTCAATCACCTGAAGAGGGCGCTGTTATTAAATTTAATAGTAGGAAAATTGTTAATTTTTAAATGATATCATTTTAAAGAAATTATTAGAGGGATAACAGAAATGAGGTGATGGACAAGTAAAAAAATATTTTTTCTCCTTCTTATAATGTTGGCATGGGTATTTCAAAGACTTGACGTTTTCTTACAGAATCACTGCAAACTAGCATCAACAGCAAGTACAGCAACAACATGACCAAACCTGTGATGCTGCAGAGAAGGCGCAGATTGGGTGTGGCGTCCCCCTTGTACCCATTGGACACGCCTTCTCCTGAGGGCGGGGGCACCGGAATGGTCATTGTGATTGGTTTATGGAATTTCCTTCTTCTTGGTTCCACAGTGACAATTGGGCTAAATGTTGCTTTGTTTCCAAGGATCTTTTTCACAATTTCATCTGGAACTGGCTGAGCCTAGAGTCAGAAAAAGAATCTTAAGTGAAGGTGGCCATTTAAAAAAAATCTCATTGGAAAGTTGACTTTTTTTTTAAGTTGACTTTTTAAGTGAGGAGGAAATAATAAAAAATACACAACCAATAAATGTCTTTTTCTTCATCCATTCGCATTATTTCAAGAAGGTGTCAAACAACAACAAACAAAACAAATCCAAAATAATCCAACACTGTAGCAGGAACCAGTCAGCCTGAATGTTTCCCCAGTGTAACAGGCAGCGTAGGCTTGTGTGACCAAGAGGGAATCCAGTCTCTCAGCAGAGAAGCATCCTAGTCTGATCTAAACTAACGGACAACAAATACTGTGTCCAATATATTTTAAACCTATGCAGGGCATTTAGTAAAACAATACAAAGGCAACTTGCACCAATGTAAAAAAATGGAGGATTTTCAGAGTTGTAATCGAAAAGAAAAAAATTCATGATTTCAAAGGATTTCAAATCTAGTCTTCCAAACTGAAGTTCTTCCTTTTGATCTCTTTGCTACTGAATATCTATATGGGAGAGAGCTGAAGGGCCCTTCCTGCCAGCGGATTGTAAGGTGGTCTCTTTAGGTATTTACGGAAGGCCTTCCCCGGACTTAGAGTGCTCAGCTCTAAAAACCCAACTCCTTGGGCACGAGAGGCAACTGTCCGTTAAATATTTTAAATACTCTATTAATTAACAACACAAATTAAGTTATTTCAGGCTATTTTCCTTAGTAAGAAAAAAAAAAACTGGTTAAGTACTGGTTCGGTCTAACCTAAATGTATAAAGACCACCATTGCCACGCTTTCCAGTCAGCTTTCTAAAAGCCCAAACAAGTTCCATCTGGTTTGGATAAAGCCCAGCATTTAGGATTTTACTTAAACCAAAATTTGAAAGCTTGCAAGTTTTCACTACTGCTGATTTTTATGATGTGGCATGTCATAAACCAAGTCAAATACGGGTTGTTTCTTTAATGGTACATGTGCCCTTTGGTGCTTCTGTGGCTCCACATACTGAGACCAATAACTTACAGTTTAAAAAAGCGATCTCTCATCAGAAACCAGGTGATACTTTTATATGGAAAAACCTTAAGAATATGTATCTTATTTCATAAGCTACTAAGCTAATTTTTAATTAATGCTTTTCATTTGAAGTGGGTTAATGATTCTCCCAAATGGCCTCATGCTTTCATCAGTAACATGAGAGGGAATCCAATGAGAGTTGTGACAGTGGTTCCCAGAATGGCATATGCTCTCCGCCCTCTACATGTTCCCAGGAGGACAACTTGGTTGAATGTTACCTGGAGGCCCACTCGGATTCTTTTGGTCAAAGCGCCCTCAGGGAAAGAAGCCTGGACCAGGGGCACAGTGGTGCTGCTCAGAATTCCACCTTCAGGACCAATCTGGTTGCTTTCCTGCTTAATCCGTGAAACTACTGCAAAATACTGAGGGAAGTCCTTCGTGATAATCCTGCAGATTCGCTTTTTCCCCAGCTCTTCCGGGCTATCGAGTTCTGAAAAGACAAACGAATGAAGAAAGCCATGAGAGTAAGCCTGCTTCCACAATTCCTTGAGGCAAACTGTCATGCAGTTTTGATAGTTAATATTATATTTAGTAATCTATTTATAGGTTTTTTTTAATGATAAAGAGAAAACAACAGTTATCCTAAAATTATAATAAGCTTTGCAAAACTATTATAAAAATATTCACATATAGTACTTGAAAAGTATTTCTACTGAAGAACAAGATCTTCAAAAATAGGCATTTTACCATATATGGGCAAACTTCTACTCTTCAAAAAGGGACAGTTGACTCTGTGATTATTTACACATAATCTTCCCCTCAAGTTGCCAAAAGTAAGAATGAGTCAGAAAAAAAAAGGCCCCATAAGAAAATGATTAAGGATGTAAGTATGTCTGAAAGGCTCTAGAATTCTATTTGAAAACCTCTTGAAAATATTTTTAAATTACCCAAATGACTAGTAACATCACCACCAATGGTCCTCCCACATCAAACTCAACCAGCCACACATGAACACATCTTTTTCTTTTCTGTCTACTTCCAACCCTCCTCCTTCCCCTGCAGTCCTAACTCCCAGAAAGGGCTTACTGTCTGTTCAGTCCTCTAGTCTAATAGCTTTGACTCACTTTCCTCTGTACTTCATATCGAGAGGTCTAAGTCCAGTTGGTTCTTCATGTTTCAGAAATGGCTTTCTACCCAGTCACCCCCATGTTCATGCTTTTGCCTGAACACTGAGACCATCTCCTAGTCACCTTCCTGCCACATATACCTCCTTACACCAGTCCACTCCATCCAGCCTCAGGCATGTTCTTTCAAAAGCCAGTATATGAGGTGGACGTATATGTTGTAATATGTACTTCTCTCTCCAAGGCATATTACAGTCACAAAAAATGTAAAAATTGACTAATCACACCTTTACAGGTGAATGTATACATTCATATTAATTTATGTAAATATTAGGGAGGGGGGAAAAAAGAGGAAAATTATAATACATATTGTAATGAATGTATACACATGCAAAATTACATGAGTAATAATTATATCATGCTAGCATTACTATAACAATATATACAAATAACAGACTATTAATGTTTTAAAGTAAATTCAACCAAGTACATTTTTTTCTATTTCTTGCTTTAAAAAAAAGGAAAGTGAAACACAATAGTGAAATGACCTTAATATCAGATAGTTAAAGACCCAGCTGGCTAACAGTTGCCAAGAGGGAATGAAAAGGCTCTGACACTCAGTTAAATTACATTAAATTGGATGATGTTTCATATTGAGGCCTGGCACATTGTAAATGTTCAATTCATATCCACGGAACAGAGAAATCAATTGGGAATTAATGAGACTCACATTTTTCATACCAAACATCTGGAATAATTCTTTAAATCTTGCTCTAAAATAGATGTCGTAGTGGAGACTGGTTATTATTATTTTAGTTTTTTTTTAATTAAAATATCATTATGTGGAAAAAGTGGTTCTAGTCTTCCTATTTTTCAAAAACATAATAAAATCTATGTTCATGTGTTTGTAACTCAGAAATTAGTTTAGTTAATGGATGTTTACCCACATGGAGAATATAAAACTTCTAAAAATTCTGTGATACAGTATAAAAAGATATATTGTAGTCCCCCTCTATCTGTGGGGGGTATGTTTTAAGACCCTTTTCCTATTCATACATACCTATGATAAAGCTTAATTTATAAATCAGGCACAATAAGAGATTAATAATAACTAATAATAAAGTAGAACAATTAACAACATTCTGTAATAAAACTTATGTGAATGTGGTCTCTCTCTCTGATAACCAATCTGATAACCAAGACGGCTACTAAGTGACTAGGTGGACAGCTTGGATGCCCTGGACAAAGGGATGATTCATGTCCATGGTAGGACAGGATCAGATTTCATCACACTGCACAGAATGGCATGCAATTTAAAACTTATTAACTGTTTATTTCTGGAATTTCCCATTTAATATTTTAGGATTGCAGTTGACCATAGGTAGCTGAAACTGTGCAAAGCGAAACCATGGGTAAAGGGGGACTCCTATTATTAGAAAAGTCAGATTTCCAGGCAACAGGCAAAGAGTAATAGAATCTGATCATGTGAAAATGGAACATCAATGTTCTTTCCACTCAGATTTTTAAATGCTCTATTACTTAGGCCAGAAGTAGGAATTACAAAGAATCTCTGATTTGCTCCCACCCTTTACATGCAGATATAGACCCAACACAATTATCTGCAGCACAACTGTGATGCCTGAATCACATTCATACCCACAGAGAAGCCAGCTCTGAGTGCAGTGCATCCCAATGGCCAGATCATAAGCAATACCTGAGTTACATATTAAAAGCACTGATTCCTAGGCTTCTCTTGTGGAGGCTATGCCTTGGTTGGCCAGAGGTGAAACCCGAAAATCTGCTTTTTAACATTCAACCCCGGTAACTATGACTTGACTGACACATTTGGGAAACAAGGTCTTGTAGACTCTCACCCTGCACCTCTCCTTGCAAATTCAGAACTCAAAGCTTAAAAACATGACAAGATCCTATAAAAAACTCAAGGATGGTTCAATACGAGAAGAGGAGCGTATAGGATACCAATTACTTCTAAATGTTTTTTTAAAAAAGATAATAAACCACCCCTAAGCTATAGAATTAAAGATAAAGGGATATAAATATTCAAGCTTCTACCTTTTAGGGCGATTCATAATGCCACAGAATATGAGAGGATCCTCTTTTTAATCTGTTACTAGCAAAATTTTCACACCTATCTCCCCTCCCCCGTACCCCTCCTCCCACCCCCCCCCACCCCCACACACACACACAAAGATTAAAGGGAAAAGACAGAGGTGAGTTCTGAAATAGGTAGTTTTGGCCAGGAGGAAGGCTAAAATTTACATATACTGAATGTCTACTTTGTGGCAGGTCAACTACTAATTAACCTACATATAGCATATGGTAGAGAAGGTGTCTGACTTTCAAAGGGTTTAGTGACTTGCCCAAGTTGACTTGCTGGTCTGCTTTAGAGCTGAAATTAGAAACTAGGCCTGGAAAAAGGGTTGGGGAGAAGTCGTGAAGTCATATAGACATGTTGATAAATGGATGGGTAGATTTGCAAACACCCTGATCCAAAAGGTGAGCTTTGTTATTGGCCTACGCTATGAGCAGAAAGACTTTACTTATTACTGAGGCACTTTCTGCTACATAACACATAGAAGCCAATGTTCTACAGCTTTCTAGCCTCACTGATTAATGATAAATTTCTTAAGCACCTTATAACCCATTTAGTTTCCACATTTGTAAAAGGTGGGACAGTATTCTCTGCTACTGAGATTTTAAAG